TATAGTTAGGGATTTAAATTTAACCCATTCTATAATTACAAAATCCTAACTAGTACTATATTTTTTTATTTAAAAAAAAAACCAGTACAATACTTTTGAATTTAAAAATGTATAATTTTAATATATTTAGGCACTCTAAATTTAACCCATTCTATATCAATTAAATCTGTCAAATGCATATTGCAACATTGAAACTGTATTATTCATCACAAGTCATCAAATACAGTACGTAACTTAATCATAATAAAGTTATTTAATGTTATAAAATTTGAGGGAATTTCAAGTGAAAATTATGGTTATTCTCGATATTCATTCAAGATTATATTCAAATTGATTTTGAGTGAGAAGATATTGTTATGAACATTTAACGAGAATCTGATTAATATATGTATCTACAGAAGAATGAATATTATGTTTACTATTGAGTATTACAGCCCTATGCATATTCTTTGCCCTGTTTAGAGTTTTTGTATCGTTTTTATTTTGGCAATAAAGGGAGATTAGGATTTATAAAGGAGTTAGATAATTTTTCCTAAAACTTTGATATTATGTGGAAAATGAAAATTATGTTTATTATCAAGTATTAGTGCCTTCTATATACATACTCTTGAGAATAATAAAAGAAAATATATAATTATACATATGCAGGTGTTTTACTAATATACCCTTAGTTACATACTATCCACTTCCCGACGGTATCAAATGTACTAATTTCAATTCGGTCTTGGGCATTCATATTGGGCATTAATGATGCATTCCCTATTCAAATTCTTTTAATCTAAGTTTCTAATCTCCAAAGACTTGACAAGATTAAACTTATGTAATGTCTGCATACTGCAGAAATGTATTAAGTCAATGTGGCTCTTAGACTAATTTAAGTTGAGCTTCTGGTAAATGTGGAAGTGTTGACAATCATTCAAGTTGGTCCTAATTTGCCAACTACAGGCTGCACTAAGTTCATAAACCCGTACCTTAAGCTAGGTGTGGCAAACTCAATTAAGTTGTAGTGAGTCTTGAAACTCAGCTTTGGCAAAAATTCTTCGTTCATATTTTATTTCATTTCAGTATGCAAAACTTGGGAGATAGACGCATGATCATTTGTGTGATAAAACGCCAATGCTACTGAGACAAATGTTCTAATAAGTAAGATAAATGACATGTACTGTTGTGAGGCTGATTACTACACTGCAGAGTGGATTGACTACTTGTGTGAATTAGGTGCTCGATCAATAAAAGCTTTTTCAAACTATTGGTACTATAAACTTATCTTTATGAATCAAGCAACTCACTTCCTATTTACTTTTAACATAGTTAATTTAGAAAACGAATGAGATACAGCTATGCCTCATAAAGCTTATAATTGAATTTTCAATTTGTCCTCATAAAATTGTTTTGGCAATTTTACTCTGGTACTGGTTGGATTCATATGCTTGCTATTTGAAATTGCAACACCTTCTGTACATTTAGTTTCAAGAAATCCATAATTATCAAATTCTTGTCACATGCACTATAATAAATGTTTGCACTTTGTAACAGGGTTTACTATCTTGGTTCATCGTCCTAGTTTTGGCGTTAATCTTGTACACTTATCATGAACCATCAGATATATTTGTCAAACATCATCACAAATCTCCTTACTGGTGGATAAAAATAAGTAAGTGTCATTGATCTCAAGATTCATGGAGTTCTATAACCATGACATGATCATTGCATCAGCTTCATCATGTGCATCAAATCTTGAATCTCCTTCCCTCGGTCCCATCCTTAGAGATGACCAAGTTTCTTTATCCTTTCAAATAAGTCCTGTCCCAATATGTTCTGACTATTTGGAGCTCTTTTACCAGTTGATTGATGAACTTAGTCTAACCAGTGATGTTAAAAGACAAAGTCATCTTTTTTGTTTCTGACATCTTCTCCAAAATGTAGCATTAGATCTCCTACTATAAGGATCTGGTACAAAGAGGTTGAACAAGGATCCTAATGAGTAAGGCTGCGAGTAGGGAATTCAAGTCTAAGGAAGGAGTCAGAAATGAAGGTTGATGTCAGCAATCTGACGATGAAGACCAAAAAGAAATTGATGAGAGCTGATGAGATAATGCACCAGTGCCAGCTTTGGCCTCCATTGGTACATGAAGATAGAAGGTGTGCATCCAGGACGAACATGTGCTAGAGCGCCCTCAGGGGATGAACGCATGAGCAAAGGAAAATGCCAGCAATAAGAAAGAGGCTGAAGTACGGGAAACATGGCTATAAACTCTATTGTTTTTTCCTTACTGAAAAAACAAGAGCATAAATGATGATGAAGTTCAAAAGAAATCCAAAAAAGAGCCTAGGGCTCTAATAATGTGTCGAAATTAGAGAGAAAATAGATATCTTGTAGATTGAGAAGGAGCACATAGGGTATGTATGGCTTTTATGAAGGGGAAAAAAAATAGAAAATTGATTACAGCAAATTAAATCAAATCTTCTCATCAGTGAGATTTTCTAACCGGTTATCCCATATTGTTAGAAATATTAACATCCTAATATTGAGAAGATTGAAGGGTTTTCCAACAAAATTATTAATAATATGTAATGAATTAACAGTACAACCCAACTTTAGATATTAACTCTTAAAATCCTTTTTTCACATTAGATTTGTGTTATAGTTTCATATTAAAGGGAAAGGGATGTAGGTTTCATCTAAGAAGTTAGGAGGAAACAGGTGACTCCTCTAATAAGGGGGTTTCAATAACTTCGTTCAATATTGCAACCTTAGAGATCTTCCTCTCTATAATCTCAATTCACTTGGTTAGTTAACAGGGATAGAGTGGCCTCTTCATGTATTGACCACTTTCAGTCTCTAATAAATGGGAACATGCTCCCCTGATTTAATCCAAGAGATTCTTCCCTGCTCTTTTTCTTATCATTTTCCTATCTTGTTGGAGGCTGGTCGTTTGAGTTGAGATCCCACACCTTTTCAATTTGAGAACATGTGATTCACTCATCTTAACTTTTAAAGAAAAACTGAGTTTGGTGGGCAGAGTGCAATGAGAAAAACCGAGTTTGGTGGACTGAGTGCAATCCCAAGGGTTGGCAGGGTTTTAGGTTCATGAAGAAGTTGCAATTTATTAAGGGAAAGTTAGAAGACATGGGAAAAGGATGTTTTTGGTGATAAAGTTTGTTTTTCAGCCTCTATTTGGGTTAGACCAAAGGAAGTTTTAAATGCGTGTCTCTATCTATTTTGTATAGAGATTGGCTGACTAATTCTTTTTTTTTGAAATAAGGCCGACTAATTCTTTGCATAACTCAGGTAGTCTTTCTCTTTTTTCTTTCTTTTGTTTTTGTTCTCTTTTGGAGGATATCTAATTCTCACTATCTATATCTCCTATTCTTATTAATATTTTTTCTTTTCCTACTAATTACATTAAACACATATATATAAATTGATGTATTACCTGTGTTGAAATGAGCATTTTTG